TGGCGCAAGGCTAAGTTCAGGCTTTTTGGACACATATTGCGAGCCAGCCCAGCAGATCCTTTAGTTCAAGTTACTTTCAAAACAGACGGATTGACACCCAGAGCTCCCACCAGAAGGCGGCCAGGCAGGCCCAAAGCAGATTGGACAACTGAAGCTTATAAAGATGCATACAGAATACTTCACGGAGATGCTAACGTTTTTGATGTCAATAATATACAGCATCTAAATGATATCAAACAGTCAGCTAGGAATCGTCAAGGACCTTTCGCTGTGTAACATGAAAATGATACATCGGGACACAGTCGCAAAGGCCATCGGCCTCTCGAGGCATTCCTCGCGGTAATCTCGTCATCTTTGCTTGGGAAGCGTGGTGCTATTTTCCTTTTTTTTGATTTTCTCATTGCAGCGCAAATGGTTTGAAGGTAACGTTTACTCTATGACTGCTGAACTTATCTCACTGCCCTAATGCACCTCTCACTTGTGCTTTGCATTCTCACAAGCCTGTTGGGAGCCCTTCTGTGCTCGACAGAAAAATTGGGAGCAGACACGGAAACACCTTGCCAAGCTAGTTTGCTGTAGAAGAAAGACTCCATGCTGTACGTGGTTTACCTCCAGGCAGAGACTTGATTGCCACAAGCCTGCTTGGGCAGGTCTTGTGCCACTGACAACTTTTCATCACCGCGAGCTCCGGAATTAGCTGCTGGCTTCTTGGACTCAGCCGTTCTAGCAGAGCTGTTCTGGTGGATCTTGCAAAGCCGTGAGAAGTGAACCCCACAGCCAAAGCTTCAGTAGTTGGCTATTGACTAAGTTGCCCACAGATGCTTCTACTGTCGCTGCAATTTGGGCTGGAATCTGCAAGAGACTGCCCGGGAAAGCCCTCTTGTTGTTTTCCATCTGTGGAAGGATCAGGGCGCTGGAATAACAACGCTACAAGGTTTGTCGGTTTGACCACATGAAAGAGTAAGTATGGAGTAGACCTGGCCTGATTCTTGTATTTCGCTACAGTGCCTCGATGGCGACAAAAGCGGTCGAGTTCCATGAGGACGAATCTGATGAAGGCACAGAACATCCCCAGCGAAAAGCGTTCAGAGTAAGACACTCAACATTGGAGAGGCTGAGGTCGAAAACAGCTTCTTTTGCTGATGTTCAAAACTCTCCAACCTGGTTGCGGCTAAATGCCATACACGACGAACATGTGCGCAAAGTCGTTGTGGGATCCCATTGGATTCTTTCAGACGAGTCAAACCAGATGTTCGGGTTCCTGATCTTGCTGCAATCGATCTCCTTTGGCGTGGAGCTTGGTCTCGAGGGAGAAAACAATGGGTCCGGATTGCTGGAGAGACTTGGTCCAGTATTGTATGTGCTTGCCTTCATCGAGCTCATCTTTCTTATCGTGTTTTCGATTGAATATTCCCTCCGCTGCCAGGCACTGGGAAGGAAGTATTGCTTCGCGGCTTCAGGCGTGTTTGATGCGGTTGTGCTCATCGCCACACTTGCGCACACCGTTGTTTATTTCCTGGAAGCAAGTTCGGAAAACACATCGAACTCGTCTTTACAGACGGCTCGGACGTTCAGACTGCTGCGCATCATCCGACTACTGCAGACATTCCCTGCACTTGCAATGCTAGTCAAAGGACTATTTAGCACATTCATTGCGATCCTAGATGTTATGATATTACTGACGGCGCTCTGCTACGCAGGTGCTCTTTTCTGCTGTGAGCTGTTAGGCTCTTCTCAGGATAACAACAGTAACACCGGCCTTTTCAGCGGCGTCTTCCAAGGATTCTTGACTCATATTCAATTGGTCTTGATCGAAGCCTGGCCCGACATTGCAGCAGAAATGATGCTTCAATCTTACATCTGGGGAGTCTACGTCGTTGGGTTCTTGCTGGTGAGCAACTTCGCCGTGCTGAATGTCGTGACTGGCGTGATATGTGAGCGAGTGCTACTTATAGCCTCCAACCAGCCCCCAGGTTCCATGGAGGATGCACAGGAAAATTTGGCACAGCTGCAAGAGCGAATTTCGATGCTGTGCTCTGATGTCATGGGTAAAACTCCAGACATTTCGAAGGAGGAGCTGCTGGAGCTGCTGCAGTCTGCTCAGGCACTCGAAATTCTCAAGGCCATGAAAGTTGCACTCCCACAGACGGCAGAGGACGTGACCATCATTTTCGACAAGGATCATGTTGGCGCTATTAACTGTGATGAGCTGCAGGAGGGACTCATGCGGTTGCGGGGCAGTAGCCATGATCTGCTGTCCTTGAACAGCCACTGCGGTGTCTACAAGACCTTCTGGTCATCCAACGAGGCGTTGCAGAACGCCGCAGCCAGACAGAGACGCTGTATGCGCGAAACCCGACGAGCTATGACTGAGCGCATGGCTGAGGCACTGCCTTGGCCCAGGCCCAGGCACCCGCAAGGGTCCCAAGACCGTGCAGAAAACGTAGACCTGACAGCCATCACAGCCGCCATGCACCAGTTGCGCACATCTCTTCAGGAGTTGCAGAAGCAGTGCTCGCTCCATTACGGGGAGGGTCAGGAGTCCACCAGCAATCTGTCGATTGCCACGCAGACTGAGACGCACGCGACTCCATCCGAGTCTGCCTCTCACAATGTACTTCCCGTTGATCCAGTGAGTAGGACTTCCGTGACTTCTGGTTTGCACTATTTGAAGAGGCCGTTGCCCCCCATTCCATCGCCAAGTATCCCACTCAAAGGGGGCAGTCGACAAGCTTGTGTTTCACCGCGCGGTTTCAAAATCTCGTGCTTGGCTGTGTCAACGTCATTTAAGACATCTTAAGACCCCTGCTGTCTCCGACCGACTTGAGGAATGGGCTGCATGCATTCTGGCGGACTCTTTCGTGAACGCGATGCGCCTTGCAATCAGCTACGGGCACAAGGCAACCGGGGTGACGGCCTGTACACAGGGTGCTTCCAGGAGCCTGTCGGTTGGCTCAGCACATGCTTAGCAAAGAAAGTAGGTTGCAAGTTCGCCGCCATGCCTGGGAAAGCCAAAACTGCGGTCAGGCTGTCGAGCGTGCTGAAGAGCCCACTGCCAGGTCATGGGCATGCTCGGGAGAGAATGGTCAGAAAGCTGCAGTGCATGGTCGAAGCAACAGCTTTGCCAAAACAGATCAAAGTGGGATGACAGGGTACCATGTGATAAGATGTGATAAGGTACCTCAGAAGTGTTGCCATCGCGTTCTGTTCGTGCAGCCTGGTTCAAGCGCAGCTCGTCTGAGAAGTAGCATTGCCTCTATGAGGATCTTCCTGCGTCCAGGGTCGGGATGACATACCTTTGTTGTCTTGTCCTTGGAGCCCTGATTGGCCGCCCTGTTGCTTTGCGGTCTGAGCCGGCCCAGCTCGTCAACGAGGATAGGTCGGCCTTCCAGTTCTCCATAGTCAACAACGCTTACGTACCTTTGAACTTCCTTGCTCTGCCAAAACTGGCAAACGTCTATGCACACACCCAGAACAGGGTCCAGCCTGGTGGCAAGTTTTCTTTCCTGGCCGCTCTAGGCGCATACGACATCCATGTGATTATACAGGATGGTCATAATGATTGGTATCAGGCAACCGAGACAAGTTGGGGTCTGAGCAAGGAAGGACTTGCCTTCACAGTCTCAGCGATTGCACAGGGAGCAGGACTTGGAAGCCTGGCAGTCGGTGCTGCCGCTATTGCGACTGCAGGTCTTTCTGCTGTAGCTGCTGGGCCACTCCTGATAACGCTGGGGGCCCAAGCGGCATTTTGGGGTGTCACGGCCTTTTCCTCAATGGCCTGTTCATATCTCGCTGACAAGTCTGTGGAGTATTTGCGGCAGCAGCTTGTTGATGTGGAGCACAATACCACTAATGTGACAAACGCACACGACCTGATGCACCACGAGCGTGGAATGCAGCTGCTCGATTTGTCGCAGAACTTCAAAGCACGGGAAGATTCCACAGTCTTTGAGGATGGTGTAAAGTATCTGTGCTGCTGCAGAAAGCCCACAAGTCTGCCGGATGCCAGCTGTGAGCTTTTTCGTGCGGATGGTCCGAGCAAGACCTGGTTTTCTTCTGGTTGTCCCAACATTGCCGGAGATGGGTACATGCCATGGTGGAAGTCCCATGGTGGCCGTTGTGTCGTCACGCGGAGTCCTTTTTCGCCATCAGCCAAGGGACCAGATCGTTTAGTGCCTTTCAAGACGGTTGTCAGAGAAGGTACGGTGCGCGATGCCTTTGCAGTGTCGTTTCCCGATCTGAATGTGGAGTACGTCTTGATGACAATGGCCACAGCCGAGCGGTATCTTGCCTCCATGCAGTCCAGGTTTTCTCAATGGAAGACCATACGAGGAGCAGAGCGCAGATTCGTCATAGCCGGCGGGTTTATGAATCCGAGCAAGACGCCTCGAGCGACGCAGGATGAGCCCTGGACAGTGATCGAGTTCATGCCCCTTCAGATGGGAGAGATCACACCAGCCTATGGCTGCAGAGTGCCAGGTGATGATAACTTCTGGCAGGCCCAGGCAACGAAATGCCGGAACAAGTGTAAGGACACAGAATGCATAGACTCCTGCATCCAACCCTTTAAGCAGGCCCTGGACCAAGAGGTCAGTGCCGGGCAAACGTTCAGGGCACTAGACATTCCAGCCGGCAGTATGGCCTTTGTGGTGGAGAACAAATCCATCATTGAGGAAGCTTCCACGAAAGCACTAGTTCCTGTCCCAGAGAACTTGGATGAAGTTTTGGGGAAGAGGGGGAGCGTCTTGAAAATTGACTTGCAGCTCCTGACTGCCACAGTTCTGGTGAACAGTACGACCTTAACTTTACCAATGGAAGCTCTGCAACTTGCGGAGCAGCAGCATCCGCTGCTTTCTGCATGGCATCGTTCCCAGCTTGCGGGACCACGGTTCGGCCAGTGCTGGAGCAGCTGCTCTGGTCACTCTTGGACGTCGACAGCACTTTCAGGTTTCAAACATGCTGTGACCTTGGGAGGGTCAGACCTCTGGTGTTTCACAGTTGCCAACAAGACGCGTGCACAAGGCTTGCAGGTTTTGCTGGGGTCATTATGCCTGGAGGATGATGAGTGCCCACACCTTGAGACCCAAGCTGCAGAAGATGCCCCAGCAAATGAAGCGACGTGCGTGGATACATGCCTATGACAGGCTTCGCGTGGCTTCACAATGTGTAAGAAAGAAGGTACATGCTTTTTGATGCTGCATGTAGGCCTTGGCAGCCGCCAAGCCTCCTGTGCGACAGAACGGAATCGTCCATTGAGCCCAGAAGCATGAGGAGCTGTCATCGCGTAGCCGGGAATCGCACGACAGCTAGCAATAGCCGTCTGTTGCATGGCCGTCTCGTTCTGTGTGAAGGAATGAAGGAGGTGTATTTGTTGTTAGGATTCGGATTTTTGTTTTGGATTTTCTACGCTTTGCTTTTGTTTGCCCGTTTTGCCTTCTGCTTGTGTTTGCTTGTCGCTTTCTGCTTGTTTTTGTTTTGCTTTTCTGCTTCTCTGCTTGTCTCGCTTTGTCTGCTTCTCTGTTTTTCCACATTTCTGTTTATCTGCTTCGCTCTTCTGCTCCTGCGCTTTTCTGCCTTTCCGCATTTTTTCCTCTTTTTTCTACCCTCATCCTTCCGGTCTCGTCCTGCTCCGCTTTTCTCTTGTCCCTACCGCTACTACGACGACGACTGCTACTACCGCTACTGCTACATACTGCTACCGCTACTGCTACCACTGGCCACTGCTACTGCTACCACTACTGCTACCACTACCGCTGGCCACTGCTACTCCTGCTGCTGCTGCTGCTGCTACTACTACTACTGTTACTACTGCTACTACTCCTATTTGAGTGCTGCCGCGAACACCACCAACGCAACGAGAAGGATAATCACAACAATAACCACAATAACAAGAAGAACAACAAAAACACCAGTACCAAGACCAGCAGCAGCACCGGCACCACCACCACCCATAGTTTCCTTAACGCGGTCTGCGCTGCTACGGGTTACCACCGCCCCTCCCTTGCAAGGTACGTAACACCAGCCCCCTCCCCAAACCAGTTTGGGAAGCATGACAAAAAGGGGGCGGGGATCTACCAATTCAATTGTACCACCAATCCTTCTATGCGTCGTCCGTGAAATACCAAATCCGGTCCTTCAGTTTCTGAAGTCGCTTTTATTGAGTGAAGAAAACCAGCGAAGAAACATCGAGAAGAGCAAAATGGGAAATTGGCATGCCGAGGTCAGTTTTCCTTCGATTTGTAATTTTCAATCACGAAAGCTAGGCTTCGGAGGTAGCTGACTGTCTTATCAACCGAAGGTTGCACCAAGGGGTGTGGGGGTTTTCCTGGAGATGGCCCCTTTTGGACCGGTTTCCGTGCCAGGCCCCACCTGGAGCTGGATTTTGCCTGGGGCCACCGGGTATTTTTGGGTGTGTCTGAAAGTGGTGTTTCAGACCGCTCCAGACGGGAGAAACGAGCCCTGATGATGCTCATGATCGCTTGCTGGTTTGGGTTAGGACTCCAAGTAGGATTTCAGCGTTGCTTCCTTCATTCTAACGAGCGGCCGTTGTACTGAACCTCTACGTTTGCAAGCCTGTTCTGTTGCTCTGCCCGAGGACCTCACTTTCTCAACCGAATGATGTCTTGGCAGTCCTGTCGCTGCAGGCAAGTAAGTATGTATGTATGAGTGTGTATGTAAATGTATGTATATATATATATATGTATATATATATACAATATACACATGTATCATATGTGTGTGTATATATATACATATCACGTACTTATGTGGACATATATATATACATACACTGCTTCTCAAGTTCAAGATGCTGCAGCCATTTCAGACCACGCGTGGATGCCTCAGCATGTTTTAGCTGGGACCGGGGATCGGTTCTGCAGCACCTGCCATTGCGATTTTCCCTCTTGCAAGACTATGGGCTGGCTTATTGCCACTCTTTCAAATCACGCGTATCGCCGCGGTTGACACACCGGTACATTCTTTCAGATTTGGCCCAAACCAGCTTGGGCACCCGGGGCTTTCTGCAGAGCACCGAGCTGAGGAAGGCGGCACCAACGTGCGGAAATGCGTGACGGAGTGTCTGCAGTGTTCGCACCCACGTGATGGGACAGGGGCTGCCGAAGCATGGGCGACTTAGAAGAAGAAGGAGAACCGAAGTACCAGCCTTCCTGCCATGTCTGTTGCATCACATGCTGCAACAAAATTCCACTGCTGAATTGTTTAGCTGCTCACTTATTGCCGCCATACATCGCTGACACATGGTGGGCTGGAGAGGGCTTTCTCGAATCAATGTCAGGCTCTTCGTGAAGGGCGCGGAGAAGCCCCGAGAGGACTGCATGCACTGCACTCTCCAGCCTTTCCAACCCCACCCCAGCCCGACGTTCACACACATTCAATACTTCATTCCGTGTGTTCGATAACATGAGATCGGCTTGAAGATGTGCCGCGAGAAATCATCGCAGACATGAAGAGTGTGCGGTTTGGCGCAGCTCCCGACATGTCACTCACGTTGAGAAATCAAGCGGGTCCCGAGCCTGCGTTTTGTGAGGAAGGATCGCAGAAGTTCACGGGTCAAGGCTTGATACTTAGATGGGGCAAGCAAGCATGGCATTTGTAGACTGTCCTGAGTTTCGTGGCTTGTTGTCTCTGGCTGACACAGAGCACAGGAGAAGTCGCTGTGCTAGTCTGCTAGTGGATCACCTTCCTCGTCTGTCTGAACCGACTTCCATTTGTCATTGAATCATTGAAACTCGTCTTCAAGCTCTCTGTTCTTCGCGAGGCAAGGCTCTATACTTGACTGGCGACAGCTACGAGGGCACTTTCGTGGAGGGTCTTCGTACAGGAACCAGCTGATGATGACAGAGCTTTCGTTCGAAACCCAACGTGGGCAAGATTGCAAAGTGCATCTGTAGCTGGATCATGCTGCATCCACTTTTAGCCTGGGTGAGCAGCTTTGCATGTTTGGACGAGACCGTGCGGCTCGCCGATTGCAGTAGTTTTTTCATGGGCTTTCACAGAGTTTGCGCAGGCGTCACTGAGCAGTCGTGGAGTCGTGGGCTGTTGCAGGAAAGGGAGTTTACGTCTTCAAGAAGACCGGCGACAGCTACGAAGGCCCGCTGAGCAGATCACTTTTTGGGCTTCCGGACAGGACAGTGCCCCGATGGAATGTCGTAGGTCAGTGCAGTAGCGACTTCACCATTGAAGCTTCAGCAAGAGATCATCAGACGCTCTCTCTCTCTC